GATATCGATATTTCGATACTATGGGATTTATCGAAACAGTTTCGACACACCAAAATAGTTTCGAGAGGCATCATTATACCCGACCCGGGTACAAACACTAAGACAAATAATTGAATTGAGGAATTCGAATTTTCATTGGGGAAATTACATCAGCTTAGCTAACCAGTTTAACCGAATTGGTAAAAATAATAAATAATAAATAAATAAATAAATTAAAGAAAATTTTGGCATAACAGAGAGATTAACTATGTCCAAAAATGTGAGACTTATGCCCAATCAAATATCAGGTGTTACGTGAAAATCACGCTTTTTTTTTATTTAACCTAGTATTAATAACTTAAATTTTCGCTATTAGTATTAGGGTTTGGGTGTAATTTTTGTTATGTTCGTGATAGCGCAAACTTTTTTGATCTACTGGAGAAAATCGCCAAAAAGTTTTATTATATTACAAAAAATAATTTCTTATTTATTAATAATAATATACTATACAAGGTTTTTAATGTTAAACTATGTTCTAATATTAAATATAAAGTAATTTTGTTATTTTTTTAGAAATTTATATTACAATTTTTTTTCTTTTTTTTTCAATTATATGAAATAACGAAATATCAAAATAGTTATACGTACTGTAATTAATTTAATATTTATAATTTAACATTTAAACTAAATAATTTAGGTTTTAAAGCCTTTTTTAGTTCACTTGCTGTTTCTTGATCGAGTTGACCTGACCTTAAATCAATTTTTCGAATCGATGTATTGGTTTCTAAGGCTTTAACTAAAGCTTTTGCAATTTGAGGATTAATACAATTTTTACTTAGATCTAACTCGATAAGTTTTTTGTTTACGCCTAAAGCTTCAACCAAAGCTAACCCAATTTCAGGTTTAAATATGGTTTCAATTAGAAATAGATGTGTAATCATGTTGTTGTTCTTTAAAGCCCTTGCCAAAGATCTTGCTTCATCCAATTCAAATTCTCTATAACTTAGATTAAGTTTAGTGAGTGTATTATTTGTCTCTAAAACATCAACAAAGCTATTCATTGAAACGCCATTATAACTTAGATCTAAATCGATAAGAGTGGAATTCGTTTGTAAAGACTTTTTCAAGGCTTCTACAACATTGGTAGAAATATTGCAATCGCTTAAATTTAAAATTTTGAGTGTTCGATTTTTGGTTAAGGACTTTTCAAGTTCCTGTCCTATTCGTCTTGCGCCTTTAATGTTGCTCAAATTCAATTCCTCGAGATACGTATTTTCTTCTAAAGCTTCTATTAAAGCTACTACTGCAGAATCACTAATGTCATTATGACTCAAATTTAATATGCGAAGTTTGATTTTATTGGCCTTTAACAAATTAGCTATAGATGTTACTGTTTCGGAACTAATCCTTGTTGACTTTAAATTTATGCTAGTAATAGTGTTGTTTAAAATTTGTAATATTTGATCTCCTAGTTCGGAAATAATATCATTGTCGCCTAAGTTCAATTCAGTAATATATTTATTGCAATGCAAACTTCTTAATAAATTTCTTCCTGCTTCGAGACGAATATAATTGGAACTCATATCCAACTTTTTAAGAGTTTTATTTGCTTTTAACGCATCCGACAAATTATTTGCACTTAAAGAACGGACCCTGTCGTAGCTGTACATGCTCGTTAAAGATGGTCTTGATGGTCTGCTCGTTGAAAATTTACTCATTGATAATCTGCTTGATGACCTGCTCGTTGATGGTTTGGTTGTTGATGATTGGTTTGTTGATAATTTTCCTGTTAAAGACGTTCTTTCTTTTTCCAAAGACTCTACTGACGCACTAATCTTATTTGATCTCAAATTTAAACTAGTAAGAGTTTTATTTGAATTCAAGATGTTTGCTATTAAACTTTCTGATGTAAAAGTAAGATTATTTAAACTTAGATTCAATTCTTTAAGAGGAATCTTCGATAGTTTCAAGAATTTTACCAACTCTGTTACTACTTTAGCATTAATATTACAATTGCTCAAATCTAAATTTCTTAAGGATTTATTGTTCTTTAAATCTGTAAATTTTACTAAAGCCCAATCAATAGTATTGTGGCTCAAGTTTAAACTGACAAGAGTCGTATTTTTCGCTAAAGCATCCACTATACTTTTCCCTCTTTTACTAAATTTATCACCATTATGGCTTAAATCTAATTCCTTAAGGCGAGTTTTATTATCTTTTAACATCTTCAACAGATTAATGAGTACTTCCGACATAAGATAAGTCGATTTTAAATTTAGGTGAGTGATAGTATCATGATTTTCTAAAGCCTTCACGATACTCTTTCCAATTTCCAAACCAATATCATTATCACTTAAGTTTAAGTGGGTAATAGTTTTATTGGAATTTAACTCTTCGACCAAATGTTTCACTAATACACTATCAAGTTTCTTGTAACTCAAATCCAATTCGTTGGTAATAGAATTTTCATAGTTTTGTATTGGGTCGTTCTCGTAAATATTTTGGTCTATTAAGTCTTTCTCGCAAATAATTTGACCTATTGCCCTCAAATTATTATTTGTACCGTCAGTACCATCTTCAAAACATAAAATACTCCAATGAAGTTCAGGAGTATTTTCATGGCCATCATCATCGTTTATATTATTATTGCTTTTTCTAGAGATAATATTAACATTAATTGTCCCATTGAGGTAATTGTTAACTGCTGCTGTAAAACATTGTTTGAGGTTTAATTTAGGGTATGTAACTGAAGTAACGAGAATCGCATCTGCTTGCAAATTTGAAGCATTTAATTGAATATCAATTCCTCCTGTTTTAGCGGCAAATGATTTTTTACCTCCACCTAAAATGGATATTTTTCGTGTATGAGAACTATAAATACCAATTTCGGCTGGTATTCCAACTAAAATCCAAGATATTTGTAAATTCATAAGTTTATCCTCTCTAAAGAAAATATACAGTTGCAGTTAGAAAAGATTTTTATGATAGAAAAAAAAAAAAAAAAAAGTATAATAAATATTTACGAAAAAGTTTCGACCACTGCTACGAATCCAAGATTAGTCTTTGATCTAAATCGAACATCAGCATTTTCAAATAGGGTACCATCTTCCTTAATGATTTTACCGAAAATTTGATAATTTTTTGATTCTAGAGGAGATTTGAATTTTATATTATAAATTTTCGACTTTTCAATTTTTATTGAATCTGAAATAAGAACTTTTTCTTTTATTCCAGTGGAGATAGTATTGTCATCATTACTAAGAATCATTCTGACTTCTTGACGTAAATCTTCTTCAAATATTTCGTATAAAGGACATAGATCTTCCCAACTTATAACTTGCCATGAATTAGAATCACCTTTTATACAAGAAATTGCCCATTCTTTAATATTATTTTTCTTAACAGGATCACCAGTAATTGAAATTAATGATGATGAATCGACTTTTTGAAATTTTATGTGATTTTCCCATAAATTAATAATATTACTATACTTTTCAGATGAAAAATCTTCAATTGTCGTAAATTCTTCAGTCATTTCATATCTAGAAGATCTTCTACTTACGCTAGAAGGTTTTAAATTTTTTGACAATGAATATATTTTATGACCAAGTACAATCTTCTTTGGTAAGAAATGTCCAAAATTTTCGAATACTTTTATCAACTCTCGGTAAGGATTGTTGTCTTTTAAAGCATTCTTAACGGCGTCCATTAATTTTTTAGATGGTATTGGTTCTGGATCAAAAATCATTTCAACTTTTGGACATTTTATTTCTAAATAAACGTCATTTACAAGAGTTTTATTGTTTAGATGAAGATCTGCATCAGGTATCCAGTCAAGGTAATCTATAGTAGATGTATCGATATGATTTTCTAATGAAAAGGATTCCCCATGTTCAGATGAAAGTACTAATTTCGCATAAAAATCTCTAGTACTTAACCAATTGATTTCTGGAGATTCAATGTCACATGCAGGATAAACAGCCATTTGCACCGTTTGTTTATTGATAATCAAACCATACTTTAGTTTTTTATTTTCTATCATACTTGGTACATCCAACGAATTTTGAGGATTCGGAGTTTCTGATAAAGTCTCTAGTATTTTTCTATCATAAGGTTCAAATTCATCAGATTCACTTTCTGATGTTTTGGTTTCTTCATATGATTGATTTATTTCTTCATCATCTTCTGGGAGTTTAATTTCATCAGATTCATCAGATGATTCTTTTCTTTCACTAAATGTTTCAGAGGATTCTTTTCTCTCATTAAATGTTTCATAAGATTCTTTTATCTCATTAAATGTTTCAAATTGTTCGAGCATGGTTTCATATTGATTACTGATAATAGTAGTTGGTGTATTCGTAAAAACGTCTTGTTCACTCCACCCTTGAATTCCTTGAATATTTTCCAATCTTAATTGTGGTAGTATGGGTTTGTGAGAATTAAGTTGATGATAATCTGATTTATTATCAACTTTCGGAAATTCCGACGGAGTACTAGAAATATTGGGTGGAACATAACTTAATCTTCCGGAGTTTGATTCATTTTCCTTAGGTTTTACTGAACTTTTATGTTGAGCGAAAGAATAAGATATCCTTTCTTGTGAATTTGAAAAGCTTGACGGAATTGAACTATTATTATATACCACTGGACTTGAACTCCCATTAGTAGCGTTAGCGATAACCGGAACTTTAGAGATCACTGGACTTGAACTCTCATTATGAACACCAAAGATCACCGAATTTGAACCTTTGTTAGGGAACACTGGACTTGAAATCTTGTTAGAAAAACTAGAGATAGTCTGACTTGAATTATTGTTAGATACAGCAATGTCAGAGATCACCGAACTTGTACTCTTGTTAGGGAACACCGGACTTGAAATCTTGTTAGAAAAGCTAGAGATAGCCTGACTCGAATTATTGTTAGAAACAGTAACGTCAGAGATCACCGAACTTGTACTCTTGTTAGGGAATACTGGACTTGAAATCTTGTTAGAAAAGCTAGAGATAACCTGACTTGAATTATTGTTAGAAACAGTAGCATCAGAGATCACTGAACTTGTACTCTTGTTAGGGAACACCGGACTTGAAATCTTGTTAGAAAAGCCAGAGATAACCTGACTTGAATTATTGTTAGAAACAGTAACGTCAGAGATCACCGAACTTGTACTCTTGTTAGGGAACACTGGACTTGAACTATTGTTTGAAACGTTAATTATCGGATTTGAACTCTTGATAGAAATGCTAGAGATCACTGAACTATTGTCTAGAACGTTGAATGTCTCCGGATTCTTGTAATTCTTGTTAGGAATGTTAGAGATTTCTGAATTTGAATTCTTAAGAGCGTTTTTAACAATATTATTAAGCACACTAACAGGCTTTTTATTAGAATTGTTTGTAAACTGATTTTCGTGTTGATTGAGTTGATCGGGTACATGAGCAGACCCTTTTCTCTTTGGTTTTGTAATGTCAGCTTCAATCTCTGAAAATCTCAATAAAATTTCATCCAGTTTAATCCTTTGTTCTGCTTCATGACACCACCCTTTAAATAGTAAAAGATTTTATAAACGTTAATATATAATATATGAATAGAAAATTAATTATAAAAAGATAATGAATATAAATACCTTCTCTAATGATGTTATAGTATTTTCTTTGAATGTTTAGAAGATTTAATGAGTTGATAAAATCCTGGGATTCTCTACGACGGCCAGTAACATGATTAACAATTTCATCCTTACTCTTATTTCGATAAGGAATCGTTTGATAACCCAGTTCCCATAAAAGCATTGCGTAACTATATAAATAATAATGCATACATTATTAAAATTCAGATATAAAAAAGAATGATATTTAATGATATTTATGATAAAATACCAGAAAACTTCGCAATCTTCTGTATATTTAGCATCTATCGTCATCATTTCAGGTGCGGCCCAATTAATAATAGTAAATAAATGTTGTGAGTAATTATCCTTCATTTCTTCATCCGGAATATGTTTGGGCTTAGCAAAATAAAAATTCGTTATCTTTGGTTCGAAATAATGAGTCATCTATTATAAATTTATGGTGATAAGTATCTTAATTAAAAGGTTAAATATAATTCAATATAATAAAATATATAATACAATACATACCATTACATTCTCACACCTAATGTCACGATGAAAAATATTAACGTTATTCAAGAATAATAAACCTTGACATATGTCACGTGCTATTCGCGCTTTTAAATCCCAAGTAAGTCTTTCATCATTATTATTTTCGTAAACATTTTTTAAACTGCCTAAACCTGCCCATTCAAACACCAACATTTTTTCTTCATTATCAAATTTTGAAAGTCCATAAAATTTAAGTATATTTCGACTATCACTGAATCTTCTTAATTCACTTAAGATTGTCGTATTTTGATCAAAAATTTTAAGGGGTTCACATGCAACTTCCACACCACGTTTATAAATCTTTTTTACGATTTGCATTACGTCATCAGGTTCACACTCTGGTTTCCTATCTGGTTCACCATCTTTTTTGTTTGCAAGAGGAGGATCAAATAGTAATGCCGAGTCAATATGTGGTACACCAAAATCTGAAATAGGATTAACGAGTAGGTTGTGAACTATCTTTTCGATATTGGTTATGTATTCGCATCTCTTCTCATTAGGAACAGTTTTTAAAATCTACATATATGCAAATAATATTAGAACAATTTTAGTAAAAAAAATCCATATTATTTTAACAAAAATAAAAAATATATATATATATATACCTCATGAATTTTCACAAACTCTTTCTGTTGGATTTCTTGTTTAATCATTATAACTTTAATTAAGATCGGATTTAATCTTTTCTCCCAAATATCATAATCCCTCAATAATCTTTCATACTTTTCTTTTACGCGCTTATAAGGATAAAAGAAAGAATTCTCTATCTTTGCAATTTCATTTGCAAATTCCTTAATTTGTTCTAAGGAAGATTTATAATTATTAAATATATTCTCATATTGTAGAAAATAATGTTCAATATCATATTTCACATAATGTAAAGCTCGAATTGTTTCATCTGAGGAATTAATAATTGGGTCAAAGATTTTTTTTCTTTTCCCAAGACTTATGACAACTTGCTTTATTTCACTTATTAATCTGTAAATTGCGTTCACGCAAGACACTCCTTTAGAGATTTCACTTGGCTGTTCCATGAGAAGAGTATTTTTGTTTTTTAGGGCGAACCAAAATTAATTAAAAGTATTATGAGTTGTAAATAGTTGGAATTTTGGATATGAGATATGTGAAAAGTTTCATTTATTTTTGCGCGCATACACCACTTCCCCTTAAATAATGTATATGTGAAAAAAAAGATGCATAGTGACACATTGATACACGCAAGCATGCAATCATAAAACACTTTTTCTTTTAGTTTGTCTATGTTTATCCTTTGTTTATCTTTTATTTACCAGTACAAGATGATTTTGTTTTGAACTCAAACCCTAAAATATCGTATATAATAGAAATGGTAAATCATAGACAAAGTTAGTATAAAATATATATATATTTACCTTTTGCTCGGATTGATTAAAATTATTTTTTAATAATAAAATAAAGGATTTTTAGAATGAAGTTAAGTTGTAGTACCAATATATACGTACGACAATGAGTAAAAATACTCAAGTTTGAGATAGTAAGTACTGTAGGGAAAAAATTGGTTGATTTTTATTTTGGTTATGCATCACACTTATTGACTAAATCTGGATACAATTGGATACTTCTAGCTAATAATGTCTTTCCAAGATATTGTCGTTTCAAGTCTTCTGAAGTTATTCTTACTAAAACATGTAGATTAATTAATAAAGTTTATTATATATTTAGTTTATCGGAGCATGGATTTCTTAAAAGGTAAGTACCCGAACACATGTACTACAAATATTAAAATGTCAAAAATCCACATAATTTAATTGGAGTAGTTGTTTTGCAGTTTTTAGATTTATAATATAATATGCACAAAAAAAAAAAAGATTATAATATACAAATTTGTAATTATTATAATAACCAAAAAAAAAAAAAAAAGGAGATAAATTGCTGTATAAACCGTAATTTAAAATTCGTATGGAAAAGATTGAACAAATCACGTTAATTATATAAAAATAGTTCGAAATCTATTTAGGTTTTTTATACTCACCTAATTATGATGAACATTATGCGATGTACTATATAATTGTTCTGCGTCTTTAAGTTGAATGTGAATTGACTCATGTTATTCGTAAAATTCGTACATATAGTACGTCATTTTGAAATTAGTATAAAATTTATAGGTCATTCTTTTTTATATAATGAATTTTTTTTAGCGAAATATGTTCATAAAGATTATTTAATGATTATTTAATGATTTCACGAGCTTTTTTTGAAAAACTATTTATCAGTGAAATGAAGAATGACGTTATTGTTTAATAATAATCTGCAAGTGCTGGTCACTGTACTATTAATAAACATAGTAACTGGTACGGGAACTATGTTTTAACAGTACTGTGCTAGGCACTTACAGATAGCCTATCACTTATTATCTGAGCAAATTGGTTCGCTAAAAATAAACTTAGTTTTTAAACTCCTAATAAAAATAACGATTATTGGTTTATTCAACAATAGATAAATTACTTATGTCTTTGTAATGTCTAGCAATATTTAAGATTAAGAAACTTCCGTTCGGAGTTAGACAAAATTAATGTTATACTAACAATTTTTACACTATACATGCAAATAGACACTGAATATAGAGGCTACCCACCCTAAGTCTAGTAATTCGTATTTCTATAATTTTTGAATTTTTTTAGTGTACAATACGTATAGCGATAGTACTGTACGTACTGTATGTGGCACATCACTACTTATGTTAGTTACATTACAGCTGTTTTGATGACCGAATTGTAATTTTCTGATTTCGGCCGAATTCGGATTTTTTTTTTTTTGGGGGACTTCTAGATCGTATCTATCAGAATAACAGCTCTTCGAATAAAAAAATGAAATGAAATTCTTTAAAATATACTGTATATAATCAGCATATTCGAAAAATACCAAATTTTTTTTCTTTGTTTAATTTCCATTTTCACTCATCAGCTACAGTGATACATATATAAATAATTTGATCTATTTTCCTATCGCTTATCTTCTTTTTTTTTATATTTCAAATAATATAAGAAAAATTTTTTATCATAAATTTTTCTCACTGCATCTATAGTTGCCCAAAAAAGCTGAACGCCATAAACTATAGAACTTATAGATATAGTAAAATATTTAATCCATATCTTCACTTTTTTGTATTACATCGATTATGTTAAAGGTCATATTGGCGAATCGGAGGATCATCAGGGTTACTATCCTCAAGTGTAGGGATGCTAACATTTAGTCAAAATTTGTGATGCAACAATACTTTGATACCAAGTTTGTGTAATCACTGTTTGGGCGAATGGGTGGTCCAGAAGACTTCCATAAATTTAGATAATTCAAACAAATTATCGTTGTTCTCATCTTTAAGTTGATATATTATTTTAGAAGTTTCTAGTTAAAGAAATTGGTAAATTAAAATAAATTCTTGAATACATGTCTCAAAAGAGAAAAATGAAGTTAAAAATATGCTTACGATGTTCTTTATAACAAATTGGTATAATTGACTTATGTAGAGAACACCACAGGCCGAATTATGCATCTGCCATAAAATGTTTAAGTTAAAAACAAAAATTGAAAAGTTTCGTAGGATAAAGGAAACTTACTATATGTATATAATGAAAAACTTTTAATTTCAAAAATTTATCAGAACACCTCGAAATATCACCAATTGCCAATAGGTAATGTTTTTTTTTCCCTAGTGACCAGGCACATGGGATCGTCGTGCGACGCTGTTTACTAGATCTTAGAGTTTATTTCCAATAGGTAATTTACAACAACCATCCTATGTAAACTGAGGAATATCTTCATATTCATATCCTTCACATCTTTCTTAACAAGACATTAACAGAAACAAAATCTCTGCTCCGCTTATATAGACAAGAATTCAAAACCAAAAAGTATTTTCTTTAAACAAGGTGTCTCCATAATTTGCTGTGAACACAGAATTTTCTCTTGAATTTACAACGAATAATTCCCAAGCTCTGGCCTAAAGTTCAAATAATTAAAAATAAAATGCTAATTAAATGTATTTACTTCAGGGGGATCGGTGGTTTCGTAGTTTCAGTGGTTTCTTTAAAGACCAGATGTTTAGGTAGTGCTTATATATTTCAAAAATCAGAGGTCGCGACTACAAATCAAAACAGGAGATGGGTGACGTTTGACACTTGATGCTTGTTTTAGCATGTCAGTAACTACTGAACCATCTGCAGTCATTAAAAAGTTATATTCTTTGAGTCATGTTTAATAGATCAAAAAAATTTTTAAACAAAAACTTACTTCAGCAAGACGTCAACCATAATGCATTTACGTCTTAAAATACTATAATACCTAGTAGTTAATAATTTGAATTAGTAAACCGTCTTAAAATTAATATTTGATAAAACATGTTATAGAAAGCACACAACATTACGTAAACTGGGACAACATTCTGATTGCCACCATCGTTGTGTGTGTGAGTTCCTTCCCACATGTTCATTAATTATAACATGTAGTACTCCTATACAAGAATCGGTGAAAGGGCTATAATTCCGTATAACTGTTCAAAGTCTTGCATGATCCTTTGAATCTATACAAGAATTGGTGAAAGAGTTATCATTCCGTATAACTCTTCAAAGTCTTGCATGTACTGCATCTCTGCCTACCAAATAAAAAAAACATATCTAAGCCATATTCCTTCAGATTAGAAATGTCAAAATTTTGATTTATACGACTCTTTTTGAAGACAGAGGAGAAAATCAGCGGTATTCGTAATAACCAAGAAAGTTCTTTGTTTTTGTTATGTCAAAATAAACCGTATTTTACGCGATTGTTTATTTTAAAAATTTCAATCACGTGAAATCATCCAATGATGAATAATGATTTGGTGTACCGTAACTAGGTGTAACAAATCGACCAGTTTAAAAACCTAACGCTATTGTTGGCATTAGGTATTATACCGGAAATTATACGGTTATTATACGGTATAATAACTGTTATTTATGCCTAGAGATGCAGGTGAATCGTCCCAATGATGCCGTAACTTTGCTGTAACATGCCGTAACTATATTAAATAATTATAAAAAGTTACAGCAAATATGCCGTAACTTTTTATAATTATTTAATATAGTTACGGCATGTTACGGCAAAGTTACGGCATCATTGGGACAATTCGCCTGCATCTCTATTTATGCCGAATTTTATTTTACCGTATAATTACCAACCATAAACGTAACATAATTAAAAAAACTTAGGTTTGTTTGATCGAATAAACACGAACTTAACTGTTAAAAATTGTTGCCGGGAAAGATTTATCGCCAGTATACGCCGAAAATCACGCGAATTTTTCACACAAATAAAATAGCGAATAACATAGTTCGCGATCCAACTTTACATAAATCTTATATAATTTTTTTTTAAAGGTAAACTGACCTTTATGCGTCTAAACTAGAAAACTTTAAATTTCTAAAAAAAATTTGCTTATATATTATGTTGTACGTTGTAATGAATTATTGTAACTTAGAATAAACATCTATAGTTATAGGATTTTATTATTAAAGAATTCAAATTCAACATACTACCGGTAAATGATTTTATCGAGTATGATATATGAGTAGGCGTTATTACGTAACCTACAATAAGAAATAATCAAAAAACTATAATGACGCACTTATACATTGAGCTAATGCCAAATTTCACAAACGCGCCGTAATGTACACTTGGTTATGAAATTTGATTTGACCTGATAGAAAAATTTTTAAGTTTAGTAACGCTAGAGCGGTTTAATAATCGACGTAAACGATAAATGACGTGCTAATCACATGATCAACGTTCTGTTCATGCAAAAGTATACATCAGTGGATTGAGATATCACCGCTCAAAGTTGGTAAATAAATTCAAAACGCCTATCAACATAAAAGTGCGTTAAATTTTTTCTAAAATTTTAAGCAAAGATACTCGGTAACTACCCAATCAAATTCGATAAAACTTTGTTTTGATTCTAGAATTTAAATAAAAAAAATTTTTTATTGATTTTGGTCGGGCGATTGCTAAGATATTTTCGCTCAAACTTTAATAATAATATTTTAATTTACATGTGTAGCTCACATTTAGGGTTGGAAATTATGAAATAATAATCAGTTTTTTTACCATAAAATAACCGTATAATAACTTATGATATTAATATAACCATTTCCACATTGGTCAATTTCGTTACACAAGATTATTATACCAATTATACCATTATTATTATACGATACCAATACGGTTATTATACCAATTTTATTATACGGTATCGTATAATTGCCCATCCCTACTCAAAATGTAGCCACTGATGTAGCAAAAATTAAAGTATCATTATTAGTGATGCAGTAGAATCATCCCAATGATGTTACGACTTAAGCCGTAACTATGTCGTAACTAGTTACGGCAATCATTGGGACGATTCTACTGCATCACTAATCGTTATTTAGTTTGGTTCTCTAAGAAAAATTTTCGATCAGCCATATAATAACCTGTCACACATTTCGGTCCTGCTATGTCATTGTTATTCATTTAAATGATAGTTCAAAGAAAATCATTTAAGTCGATTGTAGTAAAAGTTTTATTTTCATTCATTCCTCTTTAGATAATCTTAAATAATAAGGTTAATAGAATTTAGTTAACTCCGACTAATTGATGAAACAAAATATAATTTAAAAACAAAAGATTATCGTGATTACTAAATCTGGATACGGGCTGTGACAATCAGGTTTCTTATAATAAATTTATTGGTTGCATTTTAGAAAGAATTATTTTTAAAAAAAATTGGTTCAAAATAATAATTATTATTGATTGGTACGTATATCTTTTATCTACAGCTTATTGATATAACTATACCAATTTAGTATGTTTCAATTAGATCTGTATTAGTTTTTACCGCAGAGACGTGCATATCCATTAATAACACAGGTTTTCTAAAAAGCATTAACAATATTTTGCGTTTAAGATCGGTTGATTTATCTTGTTTTTTTAGACAAATCAAATACTGCAGTTCGCAGGTTGCTGCAACTAAAAGCTTTAATAATTTATAATCAATTTTTGCAAGAGTTTGTTTTTTTTTTTTAAATAAACTTATAAATAAACATTTTGCCAAGTTATTTTAATGCTGTAATACTAGGTATATAAACTTTTCGTTTGTACTCACAATTCATTATCCGACATCGCATCGCATTGCATGATTGTTTTTTTTTTTTACCTTGATACTGAATAAATCAGAAAGTAGCACAAATAGCTATTATTATTTAATGCAGGAATAGCGTATGGTGTGCTACAGAGTAAAAGCCTCCTGCAAAGTAAATATTTAGATATTTCTTAAAGGTTTTTACTCATTTAAAATTTTATACATAAGTTACATAAGTTATTATTAGTCAAACTTTATTCATTTTCCCATGGTATTATAACTCACATAATGTAGTCAATTTACTTATAATACATGTGCAGTAAAATCCGAAATTAGATATCAAAAATGCGCATATTATACTTTTGCATCATTTGTCTTCTTAATCAGTTAGTTTAATTTTATTATCAGAAGTATCATCCATAGTTTTTCGTGTAACCAAGATATGCTACTGTACACACGTCTTCAACAAATAGTCTTGTGTAATGTAGGTAAAATATTACAAATATTATTTATATCCCGAAAACGGGGTATTATATTAATCAGATGCTATTTCTACGTACCAAGTTTAAAATTAAGCTCTCCCCCCCGGATAAGCACTAAAACCAATTAATGAAACGTGAACGCCTTATAACCTAATTTGTCTTTTAGTGAAATAAACTTCTGATATTATCGTTATCTATGCCATCTTTATAGTAAATATTGTACAAACCTCGAATCAAGAAGTTGATTTTTATTTTAAAAAAAAAACATTTTTTTATATATTGGTCATATGGTTGAATAGTAAATTGAATTAAAGAGCTTTAGCTCTACATAATACGTTGTGAGTAGACATTGCAATTCCCATGCTTGTGGGCACAAAAACGCCAAGCACTTTAGGCTAGATAATTTTGTTAATAGGCATCTTGTGCCTAGCTTTGTGTTGGTTCATACTCAGGAAGTGTTGATACTTTTAATATGAGCACAAAGTACCTTAGATGCAAAAAAGCTAGGTGTTTCTAAACAGGCAGCTAAATGTAATGCTTGACAAAAGCGCCCTATATTTATAGGAGAGACTCAGTGAACACAATGTCCTGACACAATGGTACTGACACAATGGTATTGACACAATGGTACTGATACTAAGTGCCTGATCCTTCCAACAAAATTTTGCGATAACGCAATAACCAAAACAAATGTTAAATTCGTAAGAACTCATATTAGGGTTAGGTATTAGCAGTTTATATAGTAAAAGAATTTTTTTGTTAGAGCATAAAAAGCAGTGTTACGTATAAAATTTACCGCAAAAAATAAAAAATTTTAATTGGTTAAAATATTATCACGTGAAATTGAAGTCACTGTTAGCTTGATCCTGTGTTTTATATTACCCCTCTCACCTTCATAGAAATCCTGTAAACTCCCCAAAGTGGTGAGGGAGGTAATGTAAAACTCAGAATCAACCTTAGTATGATCATATGAAATGTGAGAGAGATGGTTCATCCCTCTCACATTTCATAATACTCACACGTTATTTAAAGGTATTGGATGATTAATTGCAGGTAAGTATCTAGGGATAAGTATTGATGAAAGAAAAAGTATTTATGTTCTTGATTTTAACTCTACTGATTAACGTTGATGATCACTAGGTAGTGAGTATCTAGAGATAAATGTATGTTCGTGATTTTATTCCACTGATTAACGTTAATAGATTATCCTCACCATTTGAAGGTTTATTAGTTAATTAATTGCAAATATCCAGAGATAAGTTTGATGAATAGGTATTTATGTTCGTGATTTTAATTCCACTGATTAGGCCACGCAAAGTTAATTTTTCGTTTTACATTACTCGCCGCCCCAAATTTTCCAAAATCCCTATTATTTTTTTCGTGCCAATTATTCTATTTTTGCTGGTTTATTTTTGGGGAATTTACAAATAAAGGCCCAAAAATGTAAAATAATTACATATAGAGGCCCCATTTTAGAAAATTTTACTATATCTCATGATACAGTAAATGAAATTTATCGATTTTGATACCATTCGAATCGTCTCGTTGAGACGGATCGAATGGGACTAAAATCACTAAATTTTAATAACGGATAACAAATATTACAACTTTAACAGACTTTAGAAAATGTTAAATAACTCATAATCCAGTAATTAAAATTTGGTGATTTTGGTACCATTCAATGCGTCTCAATGAGACGATTCGAATGGTATCAAAATCGTTAAATTTCGTTTACGGTATCATGAGATATTGGTAAAAACTGTTAAAATTTATTGAAATAGGGCCCCTATATGTAATTATTTTACATTTTTGGGTCCTTATTTCTCTCTTTTTTATCCGGTGTTATCCGATGGTGACCATAATTTTCCGGAATTATCCGATAGGATTCCAAGGTAAAACCAGACTTCGGGCTTTTAAATTTATAATTTACGGAACTATATGAAACAACAAATAAAATTGTAAGCCCAAGGTTGATCTTCCTTTGGCGACATTAACATTAAAAAAAAAAAAAAAAAAAAAAAAAAAAAAAAAAAAAAATCGACCGACCAACCCAATTTTTTAATTCCATTTTGATGAAATATTTTAGCAACGAGATGTTTATTGACATAAAGAATGCTTGAGAAATTGAACAATTCCCTGGTCGACATGGACAAAATGAAAAAGAAAACAAAAGCTGCGCCAAATCTTTTTTCCAAAATTTTGAATGAAGATATCTCGAATTTGTACCGTTAATTTTAATATCGTTGAATTTGAAAGATCGGTTATTTCTTGTAGAGGTAATGCAAAACGAAAAATTAACTTTGCGTGGCCTTAATGTTAATAGATTATCCTCGCCATTTTAATTTTTTAACTAGAACATGATCATAAGGCGGCTTCGCCGCTGTGATTAAAGTGTTAAAAGTGCATAATATTATATAGTACGTAAAGATTATATCTAAACATGTATAAGTTATTGATACAATAAATAAAAGGGTATTTATATTTTTGATATCTTATCTGCGATGGATGTTAAATCGATATCAGTTAATATTCCTATAGTGCCGTTCGCAATGCGATGTATGTTAAATCGATATCAGTTAATATATGTATAGTGCCATTCGCAATGCGATGTTTGTGTTTAGTGATACAGGCTGACCTTGGCCCAATGGCTAGGCTGATGTGCGAGTCAACAACCCGCACCTTTGTGAGCTGGGTGAGTCGACGTAGGGTCAATTTTTTTTTGGTAAATACATTTGTAATATATGATTGAAAATTACTATTAAAAAATGAATTTAGACATTTAGACAATTTAATTTAACAAATTTTGACATTATCAAAAACAATTTTGACTAACAACATTAGATTTTATGGTTTTCATCTGTTTTTCATTAATAATATATATTATTAGAGGTAAACCGGGTTGGAACCATTGCGCAAAAATCTCCGAAAACGTGACCTAAAACGTGACCCAAACCGCCGATCGTGTAACCCGATTTTCCCCCATTGTATGCAAGAGACGGTTCCATTGTTAGAGGCAAAACGTGACCTAGCTGTAGGCACGTGAGTAAGTGAGAAAAGGGAAAATCTCCGGGCACCTACCAGTTTACGTGATTTGTACCTACCAAAAAAATTAAAGTTTAAATAATAATAACTAAATATTTTATTAAGTAAAAGTACCTTTAGCCTTTAACTAAAATTGTAGAAGCTATAGTTCTGAATCTAATAGTATTAAAATTACAAAAATTGGTTTATTGGATCATGAAATATAAGTATTTAAATCTTTGTGAATATGTAAAAACCTACTGTATCTATCTTATTATCATGAAAAGAAAAATACGTATATCTTATAATATATAGTGTTACAAGTAGCATAGCTTTCTCAATACATCACAAGTAACATAAGACACAGAAGGGGAACTTTCAACGGTGTCAAAGTGGAATATCACATCACTGTGGCAGTTTGTTTAAAGGAAGCATTTTTGGCAAAGCCAAAGTATACTTTATTAAAGAATTAATAGAGAACTTTGAACTTTATTGAGTACTGTATTATTTTAGAACTTGATAGAACAAATACAAGAACTGTTAGAATTCTATAGAACTTTACAGGACTATATACAGAACTACTTTACAAAAGAAGAGAAAAGCTAGGGTTTATATATCTTTTTCTTAAATATTCTTAAATGTAGTTAAATATTATCAAACATAGCTAAATATTATCAATCGTAGTTAAATGTTATCAAATATAGTTAAATGTCATCAAACATCATCAAATGTTATCAAATGTCATCAAACATAGATGTTACTTAAAATATAAATTCTAAGATAACTCAAGAACTACATATGCAACAGATATGATTTATAGCTAATTTTGAAGGTCTAATTGAACTATATCGAATAGTATAATCTAAATCTATTTTTAGCTATTAAGAATTTGAAAGAAACGCTAATATATAAATCTAAATATCAAATATAATATAATAATAAATAATTAAGAAAATATGCTAAAGTTTATTTGATAACAATAGTAAATATAGTAAATTTTTACATATTTGCAAAGATTTTAATACTTATATTTCATAATCTAATAGACTAATTTTTGTAATTTTGATACTATTAAATTCAGAATTATAGGCTCTACAACTTTAGTTAGAGACTAAAGATACTTTTGCTTAATAAAATATTTAGTTATTATCATTTAAACTTAAATTTTTTGGTAGGTACAAATCATGTAAACTAGTAGATGTCTAGAGACTTTCTTATGAGAAAATGTGACCAAGATATAAACACATAAAAAATATAATCATGACCTGAATTAAGGTCCTGAATTGAAGTTTTCTAAACTAAGGTCTTGAACCAAAGCTAAGCTACAGGATCCTGTATATAAAATAGCATTTAATAATATAGTCAAACCTCTATATAATCACTAAGTTAGTTATATTCTAATTTAGTAATTATATAGAGGTATGATTATAAACAAAATACTAAGTTATAATTATATGATTACTGACTAATTAAAATTATAATATTTGTATATATTAAAATTTACTATTAAAATTCTAAAATCTTTAATAGCAAATATCTTTTGATCTACTAAACCAATTTGGATAAAACAACTACTAAAATGTTCATATCAATGAGCTGATTCTAACAAATCCAAAATTACTAAAATCTGATTACAAGATCATAAGATTGTTAATAATTTGTATTACTATAGATATTTAATCTTTAAGCATCTAAAGTAATACAAATTATTAGGAACCTCAGGTAGTTAAGGTAAAGAAAACTAATGAAAAAGAAGTAATATTGAGAACACCACTATCAGCACTTATTGAGAATAAGGAATCTTGTATAAATTATAAAGCAGACCAAGAGGTATCAGTAAAAATTACAGCAAGTAGCCTTGAAAGTGTAATTATATAAAGAGTAGTAGAGAACAAAAGAATTGAGAGAGAGTTAGTAGTTGCATATGAGAAGCTAAAAAAAGGAGGAAGTTATTAGTTATTATACAGATGGTACACTAGCGGGAAGTAGCAGAGAGTTGGGATCAAGTAGAATGGGAGCTAGTTGGTTAGTCAGAAATAAGGAGGAAATAGATAGTAGTATTAGTTTTAGTTGTGGTATAGAAAACTGGCTTTTGTCAACTCGTGCAGAATTAGGAGCTATATGAGCAGCCTTGCTAACAGCACCGTGTGGGGCCCAAATTCATATATTCACTGATAGCAAAGCAGCAATAGAAGCTATTAAAAAGTGTTTAAATGACAACAAGCTAAGAAGTTGGTTTAAAATGAAAAATAGAAGCTTACTGAGATAGATAAAAGACTGCTGTATAGCAAAAAGTCTAAATTTGTCACTACATAAAGTCAAAGATCATAGCAGAGACAAATGAAATGAGCAAGCAGATTATTTAGCTAAAGAAGGTACTAGAAGAACGGATATACTTAAAGTACCAGAAACAACACTAGACAATATCCGAGTTATACCAAAGTGGAAAGACCAAATAATAGACTGCTCACTCAGGTCATTTATAAATATAACAACTATAATAATATATGAAACAGAATGGGCTGAACTAAGCAAAGCAGCAGATATCATAGCCCTGAATCAGGAAAACAATGCTAGCAAAGAGCCAATTTGGAAAAATACTTGGGAAGCACTTAAAAAGCAACAAAGAAAAAAGTACATTAGTCTAAAGAAAAGTAGAGACCTAATGTTTCGTATAAAATGTATTAATAAT